ACACACACACACACACACACACACACACACACACACACACACACACATTGTGGTGGGCTTTTCAGTATCGTCAGCGCTGACGGACGTCTTTATAACTTGGTTTTGTTTAAGGCTTCTTTATCTTTAACACCCGGTTTAACAAGAGATGTTTTAGAATGCACTCACCGATCTTCTGGCTCCTCTGCTTCCTCACCAGCCATTGCTTAGTCACGTCCTCCTAAAACACACACACGCGTAAAGGCACGTGAATAAAAACAATGCAGCACAAAGGTGGGATGATGGAGAAATAAGCCAGACTGGATGTTGTGCAGCACGTAAACATTACACTGCTTATCTTATCAATGGTAATAGATTCAGGTGGAGAAGAATAAACCAACTTCTCCAGGAGAATGTTCAACACAAATGTAATCGGAGGGGGGGGGGGGGTATGTTGTGGACAGACCTTCACGGGGCTGTCGGCGTTCATCACGGCCAGCATGACGAGCTCCACGGCTGGGAGCAGGTTGGGGAGACGGCCCCTCTTCCACTGGAACTCCAGGTCGTCCAGCATCATGAGCACGGGCTCGCCCGGCCACACGGTGGGCTGGAGAGGGAGAGCGAGTTGGAGACAACGAACATGGTCAGTGTTACTCATCGAGGTGTTTACTATTAACACCAGCGCGCACCTGAGTATGATGGGATGATTGTCAAGGGCGAGGTTTAGCTTAATCATCTTTATCAGAACTGGGTCAGGCTTTAATCGCCGACCGGCCACGTAGGCGCCCCCAGGGGAAAAAGCTGGAGCACATCACCCTTCGCCATCCTATAGTCACCTGAGGTCTGCTTTTAATCCCCCGCGTCCAGTCCATGATGACTCTTTTATGGGGCCCCATGTCGCACTCCCCCCCAGCCTCCAGCATGCAGAGGAGGTGTCCCTTCCAGTCTTTCTTCTGTGGTTTCTCATGCTGGTAGTCAGACAGGATGATCCTTGGCTGGACACAAACATTGAAGTGGAGCCGCAACGATTAGTGGGTTGACACAAACATAATCGACAACTATTATTGATCTTCAATTAGAGGCATTTTTGTGCAAAAACGTAACCAAAGAAAGTTGATCAACTTATTTCGACATCAACAGCAGCAACTGTAGATTGTACCTGTACTCTCTTCTCCAACACAGCGGCCCACTCCACGATGAAATCGCGACACACACTGGCCGGCCAGATGTCCTCACTGGTCCAGATGTGGCCGAGGATGTTTGACCTCTAGGGCACACAATATAGATGAGATATATCCTGCGGATACATGCTTGTCGAGGAGGAGAGCTCACCTGGCAAATTTTGTTGAGTTCTCGGGCCAATTCCATGATAAATAACTGACTCTCCACCAGCGGCTCCTTCCTCTCAAGTTTCACTCGCTTACGAGACTCCTGGAGCAAAGAAAACCAGCAAGGTTTAAGAAATGTAGCAGTTGTAACAAATGTTGTGCCTTTGGAGGAGAACAGAGTCGCATGACCCTACCTTGAGTCGGATCTTGAGCTTTTTGGCCGGCTCGATGAGGAACTGCAGGCAGTCCTTCATCATACTGGTACAGCCGGAGAGGGAGGCGGATTCCCTGTGGTACAATAATAAAAAATAAAAAAAGCTTTAGTACGCTGGCACACACTCTGTCCAGAGCTGGAGCTGAAGTGCAGCTGACTGGGCTCGCATCACCCACATAAATCGATGAGAGAGCAGAAATCTGTAATTTATGAGAGGTGGCAAAAAGGTATGTATGTGTGGAGAGAGAGAGAGAGAGAGAGAGAGAGAGAGAGAGAGAGAGAGAGAAAAGCACTGCAGAACTTTCATCACAGCTCTGCACTAGCAGTCCTCAGAGAGCTCATTATTAGGCACTCTGAGCTATCATTATGTGAGGAGGGGGGAAAGAGGACCCACGAATTGGTGTGAGAGTAAAAAGAGACAGCCCGCCCACTCAAAACACACACACACACAACCTGAATGAGAGAGGCAAAATGTAGAAACCAGGCCAAAAAAAGACATGTATTGCACAGTAACAGGATTCCCTGTTGTGTGTGGGTCGATGCATCTCGATCATGGCCTTGAAATTGCAAATGTATTCCCAAGGAGATGCGAGACAGCAGCGCAGAGCACTTTTAAAAACAGAAATCACTGCGGATGGTGCGG